AAGTTAGACTTGTTTGAATCTCGAAATCCGAAAAGTGTCACATAAAATGGGACGGAGGGAGTAATATTTTACCACCTTTCCGTTTATATCATAGACATAGTGCTTATAAGCTCAGGTATACTGTGGTGATGCCCTGTTGACAAACTTTGGGGACTTAAAAAATAGACTTCATCAGTGAATCATGATCTTTACACTATGTGAATATGTTGGATGATAAAAATTAAAAGAAATGGCATGGTAATAGTTTATGAATCGTAGCTGCATTGATATGTTTGGTGATAACAATATATGGAACTAGTGTATCACTATATAGAGTAAGCAGATTTAATGTCTATTTTCTAAAATCCATCTCCTGGCAGTGGTGGTTATGATCAAGTGATTTTACCATCATTAGCTTTGTATGTGAAAGTTGAGTAATTATATTATTTTATGCAGGTTTTCGTCTTGTTTAGTGATGGCTCAGTTTACATCCTATGTCCTGTTGTTCCATTTGGAAGGTAATTTGCCAGAGATCATAATGCTGCTAATCGTGAGGTTTTGTTAGGAGATGCTTATGAACAGAAATTTAAATATGATGGTTGTGAAGTGATATGAATTTTTTTAAGGTCTTTACTTCTATTAGCTGACAAAAAGATTATCTTTTTCCATAATGCTTCTGGCATTTTCTTATTTTGGCTCACTTGTAAACTTGATCAACTTATAGTTTAATTTCCTAATTTTTTGATACTCGTGTGTGTCTATATAAGAGATCTCATAGACTATTACCTTTCCCTAAGAGCAATTATTCCTCCTCCCATGTGTCTCATTTTCATATTCTCCTCAAGACTTCTAATTTGCATATGTTTCTCCTTATGCCCTATGTTGCTATTTTTGGCCCGTGCAAGTGGCAGGGCGTAATACTTCACTTAATCTCACCAAAGTAGCTGCTTTCTATTGGAACAGTGTGTACAAATGGGAATCTGTACTGGAGTTATATAGTGATGCTCACATGTTTGGTCTGAAATCAGCAAATTCAAAAGCTGTGAAAAACTCAAATTTGGCAATCTCTTGGTTGGGAGCAACATTTCCTGAACTAACTCGGAAAGAAGTTCATGCAGAAAATGCTGCTGTTCTTAGAGCTCAACCTTATGCTTTATTTGATGCTTCAATCTCATTACAGGTACACTTTTAACTTATGGTGCTTATTTTCTTGATTTTGTTTTCATTAATTCTTTTCTTCTTTCTCTTGTTAGACGATGTCACATGTGAATATTCATGAATGTGAACTGTCAGATTGTTGAAAATTGAAATACTGTGCAGCACACTGTCCTTTCTTACAGGGGAAACAAACTATTTGATTTTAACTTTATGTTCACGGAATGAATTCTATTTGTAGAATTTGAGAAAGAAGAGAAGACTTTTATGTCTTTCAATATATTTTTATGTTCCATGAGAAGGGGTATTTATACAAGCGAATCCTGACTTAATTAAGAAAAGACAATCAATTACAACAAAAGAAAAAATTGTTCTTTAAAATTTTCACCGGGAAAAGGAAAATAAAGTCTCCTAAAATCATGCTAATTAATTAACACAATCAACATCTCCTAAGATGGAGCAAAGATGTCGCACGTTCGAACTTGGAAACTTAAGTATTAAAAGTCCTTTTTTGGGAACTGGTAACTTTAATATTCCTCAGCATTAAGGGCTATGCTGGCCACCTCCAAAAAGTTGTTACAAGAGAAAAGAAAAGACATAAATACTTACAAAGATCCTATAAAATTCAGTAGCTGGATCTCCTATTCTTTACACCAATAAAGAAGTGATTGCTTTCCACTTAATCTTTTGTATAGTACATTCTTTCCCTTGAGAAAATAGTCAAATGCCCCCTCAACCTGTTATTGAATTTCCAGCTACACACTTATGCTTTACGGGAGTCCTATTACCCCCTTAGACTATTTTAAAACGGAATAATTACACCCTTAGATGCTGACATGGCACAGAGAGTGTCCTCACTCTCTTGGAGGCATGTGGAAGTCAAAAGAATTGACAAAAAATATTTTAATAACATTTTAATTTGACTTTTTGTTAATTTTTTTTTTTACTTTCTCTTTAAGTTTTTTGTTTCTTTTTCTTTTTTTCCCCTCTCTTTCTCGTTACTCGACATTCACCCCACCACCATTTCCTCCACCTTGAACCACCATCACTACACTAACCACATCTTTTTTTATCCATCTAATATTTTCTTTACAATTTGCTTCACAGAGTGAAGACCAAAATAAAAAAAACAGAAGAAGAAAGATTGGACTCAAAACAAAAAAAAAAAGAATAGATTTATTAAACACCTTCCATCATAAAAATTCATTCTATTACTGGATTTTTTTTTTTTGATTAACGGAGAAATCCATTCAATTAAAACAATTATGACTGTAAAATAATTTTTTTCGATCATGGATTTCATACAGTAAACTAAACATGAGTTTTGGGTATATGATCTGGGTCATCATCCATCTTTATTCATTTTTATTAATCTCAAATTAGTTCAAAATATCAACACCATTAATCTACCTTCTCATCGATTTTGGGTCAGTAGCATACATCAATTATCAGATCTTATCTTCAATCTCTATTGTTGTTTGGTTAAGACCCAAGAATTTAACCATCAACAACCCGTAATAAAATATTACAAATTTGGTGTCATGGAGACAAATAAATAACATAATAAAAAAATTCAAAAGAGATGAGTAATCAAGCTCGTCAAGGTGCCTGAAGGATGCTATAAGGTGATGAAAAAATGATAATAAAAATAGCTTCGATTTTTTTTCGTGGGTGACTGCTTTGGAAGAAGGGAATGAAAAACAAAAGGGAAAAGAAGAAGAACGATTAAAAGAATAAAGATTTTTTTGTAATTAATCAAAAAGGGGATAAAGAGAGAAAAAGAAATATAAATAATAAAAATTGACAACTGGCAGCAAGTGTGCATCACTACATGTTGAGAATGTGGTTGTCTAGTTTTAGGGTTGTATATATTTAGTTTTTAAAAAATCCAGGGGGGTAATAGGACCCCCCGCAAAGTATAAGTGTGTAGTTGAGAATCCGATAATAGGCAAGGGAGGGATTTCTCTATTTTCTCAAAAATATTTGATTTCTTTCTTTCCAGATATTCCACCAGATGCATGCTGAAACTGTTCTCCCCCACCTCTTCTGACTCTTGCTACCTCCTTTCTAATCCAACAGCTTAATTAATCTCCCGAGTGTTTGGGCATAATTCAGTAGTCCAGTTTACACTGGCTATGCTGGTAAATAAAGCCCAGACCTGTGCTGTTATCTTGCAGTGGAGAAACAGGTGCTTGTTGGTCTCCAGATCCTCTATGCACAGAGAACACCTTGTCTACAATGCAGTGGAGAAACAGGTGCTTGTTGGTCTCCAGAGCCTCTTTGCACAGAAAACACCCAGAGGCTGTGTTGGTACCCCTCCTCTACAGTGCCTCATGAGTCAGACAGGCTCTTCTGGCTACCAGCCAAGTGAAGCTTTTTCACTTTGGTTGGAGCCACTCTTCCAGATTTCTTTCCATGGGCCTGTAGTTCTACATGCACTTCCTAATACTCCTCAGATATATTATCTGTTTACAGTGAACTCCCCATCCTTGTGGTGTCCCCATACCAATCTGTCTGGTTCCAGATTAGTATCAGGTAATCCACCATTCTGTTTCAACAATTTTCCACCACCTCAGCAATTTCCCAATCATTTAGCAGTCTTCTAAAGACAAGATTCCATCCCTGTGGAGACCGTCTCCTCTATTCTCTTGTCAGGATTGGAACAGATTGAGAGGAGTCTAAAGAATAGGTTCTTTAAGATCTCTTGTCCACACCAATCATCTATCCAAAACTTGATCTTGTCCCACCTGCCCACTGCAAGCTTTGTGTTGTTCTTGAGGTCCATCCAATAACTTCTGATGATCCTCCACACCTGATCTCCATATGTATCACTCCCTTCATTAGTGCACTAGTGACCTTCTTGCCCATACTTGTGGTGAATTACCTCCTTCCATAGAGCCTGGTCTTCCTGATCATACCTCTAGACCTATCTTGATAGCAGACTCTTGTTCTGCAGTTTTAAGAGTCTCACTCCCAAGCCTCCATTTTTCTGCTTTGTTGAACTACAATCCATTTTACCAAGTTAAACCCCTTCTCAAGGCATCCAGTACTTTGACCACCTTTCCAGCTATAGAGAACAAAGACATCACATAAGTTGGCATAGAATCTAGTACTGAGTTAATCAGAATGACTCTTCCTCTTAGAGAGAGAAATTGAGATTTCCATTTCCATATGGCCTGTTTTTTCTCAGACTTCTCAATTATGCCATCCCAGATTTTTATTTCTTTGTGTTTGGATCCCCAGGGCATGCCTGAATAGATTGTTGGCAAATCTTCTACTTTGCACTTCAAAATATTTGCAAGAACTTCAATCTGCTGCACCCTTCTTGACTGGGAATATGCTTCTCTTCCTCCAATTAACTTTGAGAACCCGAGCAGGCTTAAAAAAGACGGTAAACAATAGTGAAATTGAACCATCTACATTTTACACATAAAAAATTGCAAGTTGTAGTTTTTAATATGTATGCAATTTTATAAATTGTTCAAAATACAAATAATTAGAAAATATATATATATAAAGAGTACATTCAATTACGATCACAAACGTCATGTGGTGATATATTTTCCTTTTTTTTTTTTAGTAAATGTTAAACAACTCATAATTCAAATATTATATTGATTCATATTGGATTTATTTAGCAACAAACAACTCTCTCTAAATAATGAAATTTGCAAGATAATTTATTTAAATAAATTTAGTAGTACAAATATAAAATATAAAATCAAGAAAATAACAAAATGATTTGAGGGATACTTTGGTATTAAATCCTATGTATAACTAATACCACCAAATGGAAGGTATTAGTAATACATCCTATAATACCATGTAGGGTGCATGGATTAGTTATACATAGGCCCAAAATTCCTACCAAACATAGTACTAAATAATACCATACATAATACATAGACTATTTACTCCTAATACTCCCTACCGAACGACCCCTAAGGGTATTAAGTTGCATTCTGTTGATAAGATAGGCAACAACTTGAAGGACATCCCCTAGTAGGTTTTTTGGTAGAGTCATGGTAAACATAAGAGATCTTGTCACTTCTAACACATGCCTAATTTTCCTCAGTCATATTTTGTGCACTAGCGTAGGGACAAAGTTTGATGGATTATCCCATTAAACTCTAAATAAGCACCAATTTGCCATGTATTCTATGCCATTGTCAGTTTGCAAGATTTTTATCTTAGCCTCAAATTAACTACAAATCATCTTATGAAATGACTGAAAGCAAGTATCAAAAGTGTGCTGCATAAATTGCTTAGAGATTTAGGGATGCATAGTATTCGAAAGTTTGCCACATCTAATATATGTAACTAGTTGCCTGTACTGCTCACCTCAATTCTTTAATCGTTGAGTTTGGTGCGTATTGACACATGACAGGCTCTTCTAAAGGCTTACAAAACTACTCTTCTAGTCCCAAAGGGATTTATGTCGGAATAGCCAATGGCTCTCTAACCACTGCCTTTGGAACAGATTCGGTTGTCTGTACACCTGATAGGCTGATATTACCAATCATTCTTCATATACCGTAATTTCCTAAAAATCTATTACTCCCTATCCCAATGAATATTGCTTAGAGATTTGTGGGTGCATAGCATTCGAAAGTTATGTCCTAACAAGTGAATTATCGGAATCCCATAGACCATTATCAAATGCAGTTGGTTGGTTCTGCTCTCCATTAATATAACCAAAGCAATTTTCTAAATTTAATATAACATTGGTTTTTGTAAGAGAATTATTATCTATTGCCTTGTGTCCCCCACAGAAGAAGAAAAACCAAAGAAAATCGTTATATAGATCAGTCTCGTCAGAAAACCAGCTCTGCTTTGATGGGACCCTAACTCTGGTTATCAGAAAAATCTGAAACTTGGTGGGTAAGCTTGAAATTAACAAGAAGTAAGATAATCTCTAAAACATTCGGGAGTAGCCATTGGTGACCCCCCCTCCCTTTTTTTTGTTTTTGTTTTTGTTTTTTGCTGGGAGGGAGAAAAACTCACCTCAAAAGGCAGCAAGGACTCTGATACCATGTTGAATTTGAGTAAGAAGAAAAGGCTTCTTTGTATTTCAGTCCATCATATCATTGTATGAGAAGGGTATTTATGTAAATGAATCCTAACTAATTAAGGAAAGAAGTCAAATTCAATAAAAGAAAATATTATATTCCTGTAATTACGCTAGGAAAAGGAAAAATAAAGTTCCCTAAAGTTGTGCTAATTAATTAACACAATCAAAACTATTTTTTTCAATATTATTGTTGTGTTTACCATGCATGTTAGATATAGCAGTCACTAGATGGACTTCATCGGGCACCATTTACCTTGAACTTCTTCACAAACCAACATTAATTTGAGTTTCAGAATATGAAGGAAGAAGGCTTCTATCTGCCTGCCCCCTTTTTAAAATTGGGATAAACGATGATAGTAACATGGCAGTATTAAATGTTGCAAGTTGTAATATTGTTAAAAAACAGAAGATTTATTGATATTGATGCATGTAGGAGAAGAGGACAAAATAGTTGTCTACCCTTCAGTTGAACATACACGGGAGAAAAATATATTGGCATTGGTTTCCGACTGGATCGCGCTAGAAAGAAGCTAGATACAGTAGAAAGTCTTTCCCATCTGTCCTTATTACCTAGTGCATTGAATTTTTTGACTAACACCTTGTCTTGTTGGATGAGATACTCTTATTCTGTCTTAGTTACTAGTGTATTGGCGAAGGAGTCCAGACTTGGACAAGTTTTAGAAACTTTAGACTACAAGTTGTGGTGGAAAACATGGTGAAACCAATTGAGACTTATTTCAACAGAAATAACTCTATTTTCTCTTCCATGCATCTCCTCAGAAAGAAATCCGCTGAACTTCCATTTCTTTGTGCAGAGGGGCCTCATTCCAGTTCTCTTTCTTATCCTTTTTATGCTGTAACAAATACCCCTATAAGCTTGATTAGATGAGCACTGCATTCTCCTTTTCTTGAAGGGAGAAAGTGTACGTGAAATTGCAATTTTACACTGCACTGCTATTCTTGTTTCTCTTTATGAAGGAAACGAGGTTATTTTCAGTCATTACAAAACACTTTTGTGTGCTGGTTTATGTTTTGGTTATATTATGGAGCTGTTTTCCAGAAGAGATAGCTTGCTTGATTCTCTTTCCAACTATGTAACACCTTATGTTTTGTAACACTGGCTTCACTTGCAGGGACCTTTACGTAAAGTAAGTCATGGTGTTGAAGATGACTCAGTTCATCCTCCAGTTTGTGAAGGGCGTGCTGTCAGTTTTCTTTATGATTTAGTTAGCAAAGATTCTATCCTAGTAACTGCTTGGAGTAGGGGGCAGTTGCAGATAGATGCTTTAGCTGATGAAGTACAGCCTGTCTGGAAGGTTGGTAGTCCACCTCGGGTATGTCTGGATTCAACTGATAGTATAGTTGGCCTTGCAATGATTTGCGAGTCATTGTCGAGTGACACCTCCATTTTGAAGCTTGATCTGCCACCAGATCATACTTTATGGTTGGGGCATCCACCTCCTCTTTTGAGGTTGGCTATTGTGGATTTAGCTCTGCCCAGAAGAAGCAGTTCTGTTTTATCAATGTTTGTTGATCCCATTATTTCAGAAAGAATATATTGCCTTCATGAAGGAGGAGTTGATTCAGTAGTGTTGCACTTTTTGCCTTTCACTAATCAGACTCGTGGCAAAGAAGACATGATGAGAAGTCCCTCTGTGCATCCTGTTCTTAGCACTTTCCAAGGAGAAGCATCCTCAGCCATCCCACTTTCTGGTTTCTTGGCTCTATCAGATTCTTTTGGAGATTCATGGATTGTGGGTCTTACCCCTTCTAATGAGTGTATAGTGGTTGAGATGGAGACTTGGAATACACTTCTTCCCCCAATTATTGATAAGGTTGACAAACTCATAGGTGCAGAAGTGCCAAAAGATACAGATTCTACTATCATAAGCAAAGAGCTCCTTACTGGACCCAGGGTAGTTCTTTTCCCCCCTTCATCACCTCATTTGCGCTCAGTTGCTGCGGATTCAATTGAAGGCCGATCAACCCTTCATCAATATTTCAAGCTTTTTCATGAAAACTATGTGGAATATGCCCACAAGGTAACATTCTGCTGTTCGTACGCTATAATTCTGATTTGAGATGTGACTTTTTCCTGTTGGGCTCTCTCTTTTTTTTGTTAGATATTGTCTTATAATCTATAGGTCTTCATAAATCCCCCTCGGAGGGGACAAGGGGTGTGCCTTATTTTATCTGCTAGTGAAAGTTTTGGTGGCAATAATCTTTTATGACATACTCCCTCTGTCCCATTTTATATGAGGTAGTTTGACTTGGCACGGAGTTTAAGAAAGAAACAAAGACTTTTAAAACTTGTGGTCTAAAATGAATGATAGAAATTTATGTGGCTATAAATCATTTCATTAAGGGTAAAATAGACATTTTAAAGTTAAATTATAACTTAATATAGAAATGTGTCATTCTTTTTGGGATCGACTAAAAAGGAAATTAAGTCACATAAATTGACAGAGGGAGTATGCTTTCTGTCATTTTTAAAATTGCTTAACCATGTACCTCCTGTAACATGTCTGGTCCAAAATTTCTCTAAAATTATCCATTTCTTTTCATGCATTGGAGTGGCTTTTTGTAGTTGAACTGCCATATCTACCATGTATTTCGTAGTTCTAGAATGTTCATCATGCTATATTTTTTACAGTTACGGGAAGAGTAGAGAAAGAAATTCCTCTCTAGATTTCTGGCAGTACACCGTTTCCAACCAACTTTAGTCCCAAAAAACATCTTTAAATCCACCACCTCACGTCAATCCACACCTTTTCACATCCTTTTTAGCAACTTTTGTCAACTCAATTCGATCGTAGTAACATAAACTTGGTATGCGAAGATGAGACTGGAATACTACTCTAAAGGTAATAAAGCAAAGGAAAACCTCCTTTGTTGCTGGATTGAAGACTTCCCAAACAATAGACCACGGGAAAGCTGTCATGGTTCAAACTCACTTGGAGTGGCAAAGATAATTTATGAGTAGGATGATGATTGATAGACAAAATCTAGAGTGGATCCGCAATGTCTTAAAACTAGCTTCTGAAGGTGTTGGTTGAGAGGATTATGATGGGAGAGTGATTCATAGACAGGAAGAGGCTTTCTCTCAAGCAGTAGTATCCGACTATCACATACAGTTGGAACAGAGCTGCACCAAAACATGTCTATCAGATTGGTGGCCTTTTCCGCATCACTGAAGGATAAAAATGCTTTCCACACCTTTTGAAAAAAAGGGATTTCTGAGTTTGGATATTGCAGAACTGCCCTTTCAGATAGGCAAGAAATAGAGAAAGAAAATCGAGAAAGGGATCCCGCTGACCATTAACATAGAGGTAGGAAATTAGAGCTTCGATATTTAAATTTGGGATGGACTCACAATAGGAGCGAGAAAAAGTCCTTGTACCAAAAAAGAGAGAGCAAGAAAAAGCATTGTCTGAAATAGACAATGGCCCAACTCTGTTCTCTGGATGTCGTCCTATGGCCAGCTTTGTAGAAGTTGGAATTCCCAAATAAATATAGTTGTCGGAACTAAGAAAATGCTGACCTAAGGTATGCTTGCTAACTCTTAAATTTCATACCAATGGAAGCAGGGATGGACCAACCCCTTTTTGTTCCTGTGAGAAATATAGACTAGAATATTATTGAATTGTGTATCTAAATTGTTACATAAAGACCCTATTTATAGACACTACATTAGAATCCTTTTCCAACTAAGATTCCGATTCCTATTCCTATTCTAACACTCCCCATCAAGCTGGTGCATACAAATCATATGTACCTAGCTTGTTACAAATGTTACTAATACGAGGACCGGTGAAAGACTTGGTGAAGATATCTACAAGTTGATCATTTGACTTCACAAATTTTGTAACAATATCTCCTGGGAGTATCTTTTCTCTGACAAAGTGTATTCCTATTCATATTCCTATTCTAAGTAGGAAATACTTATTTCTATTCTAACACTCCCCCTCAAGCTGGTGCATACAAATCATATGTACCTAGCTTGTTACAAATGTTACTAATACGAGGACCGGTGAAAGACTTGGTGAAGATATCTACAAGTTGATCATTTGACTTCACAAATTTTGTAACAATATCTCCTGGGAGTATCTTTTCTCTGACAAAGTGACAGTCAATCTCAATATGCTTAGTCCTTTCATGAAACACATGATTTGATGCGATATGAAGGGCTGCTTGATTATCACACACAAGTTCCATCTGATCGATTTTGCCAAATTTTAGGTCTCTCAACAACTGTTTGATCCAAACTAGCTCACAAGTTGCAGCAGCCATTGCTGAGTATCTTTTCTCTGACAAAGTGACAGTCAATCTCAATATGCTTAGTCCTTTCATGAAACACATGATTTGATGCGATATGAAGGGCTGCTTGATTATCACACACAAGTTCCATCTGATCGATTTTGCCAAATTTTAGGTCTCTCAACAACTGTTTGATCCAAACTAGCTCACAAGTTGCAGCAGCCATTGCTGGATATTCTGATTCTGCCCTAGATCGAGCAACCACACTCTGTTTCTTACTCTTCCACGACACCAAATTACCTCCTACTAAAACACAATATCTGAATGTCGAACGTCTATATTAGGGTGATCCTGCCCAATCAGCGTTTTTATATCCAGTGATATGCTCATGGCCTTGATCCTCGAAGAGTAGTCCTTTACCATGAGCTGACTTTATATATCGCAGAATACGAACAACTGCATCCCAATGACTATCATAAGGGAAAGTCATAAACTGACCTACAACACTCACAGGAAAAGAGATGTCAGGTCTAGGTCTAGTCACTGTGAGATAATTCAACTTTCCAACTAGTCGTCTATACCTTTTAGGATTACTAAGTGGCTCCCCCGTCCGGGAAGGAGTTTAACATTCGGATCCATAGGAGTGTCAATAGGTCTACATCCCATCATTCCTGTCTCCTCAAAAATGTTTAGGGCATACTTGCGTTGAGAAATAACAATACCTAATCTAGACTGAGCAACCTCAATATCTAGAAAATACTTCAATCTGCCAAGGTCTTTAGTCTGGAAATGCTTAAAGAGATGTTGCTTCAAATTGGTGATACCGTCTTGATCATTACAGTGATAACAATATCATTAACGTAAACAACCAAATAGATACACAGATTTGGTGCAAAATGCCAATAGAACACAAAGTGATCAGCTCCACTTCGAGTCATGCCAAACTGCTCAATTACTGTGCTGAACTTTCCAAACCAGGCCCGAGGAGACTATTTTAGACCATAGAGGGACCTACGCAATCGACATACAAAACTAGGTGGTTGCTCTATATAGACTTCTTCCTCAAGATCACAATGCAGAAAAAGATTCTTAATGTCCAACTGCTAAAGAGGCCAATGCCGAAGACAACCATAGATAGAAAAAGACAGACATGTTATTTTAGCCACACGAGCAAAAGTGTAATTGTAATCTAGCCCAAATATCTAAGTACCCTTTAGCAACAAGATGAGCTTTAAGTCTATCAACTTGACCATCTGGACCAATTTCGACTGCATAAACCTAATGGCAACCAATAGTAGATTTACCTACAGGAAAAGAGAGCAGCTCCCAAGTACCACTCTTATGCAAAGCAGACATCTCATCAACCATAGCTTGCCTCCATCCAGAATGAGAAAGTGTTTCACCTGTAGTCTTAGGAATAGAAATAAAGGACAGACGATACAAAGGCATAATGGGGTGATGATAATAGCTAGGACAAACAAAAGACACTCTCCAAAAAAAGCTCCCAGGCTTGGCATGACTATTTATGTGAAGAAAGGAAAATTGGTAGATCTTTTAAGGAGTAGAGTAAAATTGGTAGATCTTTTTTGTATTATAGATGTGTCAAACATCTTATTGGAATTAGACCCAATTTTGGGACGGTAGAAAAGGATCAAAAGGCTCTTTTCTGGGGAAGAGGGAGTACTTTACTCGTCATGTCTTTCTAATGGGGAATAGATACTTTCCATATGAGGATTTAGCTTTATGTCAATAGACACCAAACTCTATTCAATTTTTCTTTACTTCTTGATTTATCCTTTGAGATCAGTTGATATGATTCGGGATGCATGCAAAATAATTAAAAATAAATTGATTAATGAAAATCACTGGATAGGAATTCCAACCGTAATTGCAGAACAAAAAGAATCTCAGGCAACAATTGGGGTGAAACAAATGTTTATGCATTTATGGACGGACGAGACCTTCAAGGAGATCGGCGAGCTCTGTGGTGGATGGTTGATGACGGAGGAGGAGACAGAACTGAGAAACCATCTCAAGTGGGCAAGGATCGAAATACGAGGTGATGGTCGGAGCATTCCAAGTGAAGTCTCTATTTCTAGAGATGGAACTAAATTCATAATTCCGATCTGGGCAGAGAGGAAAACCCTATTTGAATTCCCGCCGGAAAGCAATAGAACAACCACCGGAGAAGATCAACTGAAGATACAGCGGATAATAGATCCCCAACCATCTATATCCGAGAAAGCAGAAGTACAGGTTGTTGATGTTGATGTTGATGTAACAGAAGGAAATCACGTGGAGGCAGCTGTCCAAATTTTTAAAAAACCTAAAGTAGCACGTGGACAGTAGGTCAACTGGGCCGGATCAGGCGACAATTATTTTTAATAACCTCAGCCCACAGCCCAATTCTGACCTTCAAGAGGTGGTGATTGATGAATCTCTGGAAAATTACTCCAGTCGCGATGTATCTGTAAGGAAAACACCAAATCTACAGAATCTCGAGGGGACCCAGCCAAGAGAAGAAGGATTTGAAGAAGGAAAAGAAGCGGAAATCTCCTGTTTACCCATTA